TGGCTGTATGCCCCCTACCCAGAAATGCCTGATCACGTAAATATACATGAACCAGCATAGCAGGGCCTCCTTGCCACAGTAAAACTATGGTGGTCAGTCCAGAGGTGGTTAAAAAGGGTCAGGTGTGGTTTGATATTGGATGTCAGCCCATTCAAAATGAATAGGCTTTGATAAAGGATATGTTCACCTTTAATTAAAAAATAATAAATTAACATATTTTTGCAGATAAAAAAATGTGCATTTATTATTTTTTAAGATAGGAGCCTGTGATCAACAGATCATGGGTGCAATGTCAAGCTTCCTCAGACACTGCCTACAGCTCTGTGCCCATACCTCTGTATGATGTCAGCCATATAGCTGTAGTCAGTGTGAATGAATGAATAGCATGTTGATCAACGCACTCAGTTCATTTAAATTACAAGTCAGTCTGCCGCAGTGGAAGCTATGAAAGTACATTTCATGGCTTATGGCTCACTTTTATTCAAAGGTAAAATTAAAAAACTCATAAAAAAGGTTAGCCTCATAGGGATTTTCGGTGTCACAATGACAAATATAAATTTCCCAGTCTCGCCTCCTGCCTATTTGGACTGCATAGCTCCTGAGCCTGTCTCTCCACAAATTCACCATGTTATCTCATTCAGTCTTGTGACAAATTGCCCAATTTGGGCTAGACAGGCAATTAAAGTGTAAATCAAGCTGAACCCTTTTTGAATTTGGATAGATTAAGGCAAGGGTCTCCAAACGTTTCATTCAAAGGGCCAGTTTACTGTACCTCAGACATTAGGAGGCCGGATTGTGGTGAGTAAGGGTAGAAATTGTCCCGGGCCCAGCATCAGTGAGAATAAACATGGCCTCAGTTTGGTGGTCAGTAAGAGTATTGCCCTTTCATAGGTATTAGTGGAAGGAAATTTAAAACATCGTTGGTATCAGTTGAAGAAATAGTACTCCATTGTTGGTATCAGTGGGAGGAATAGTACCTCATATCATTGGAAGGATTGGAAGGAATAGTGCACCATTGTTGGTATCTGTGGGAGGAATAGTGCCTTGTATCATTGGAAGGAATAGTGCACCATTGTTGGCATCAGTGGGAGGAATAGTGCCTTGTATCATTGGAAGGAATAGTGCACCATTGTTGGCATCAGTGGGAGGAATAGTGCCTCATATCATTGGAAGGAATAGTGCACCATTGTTGGTATCCGTGGGAGGAATAGTGCCTTGTATCATTGGAAGGAATAGTGCCCCATTGTTGGTATCAGTGGGAGGAATAGTGCCTTGAATCATTGGAAGGAATAGTGCACCATGTTGTATGGAATATCCATTGGGAGGAATAGTGCCTTGTATCCATGGGGAAAGTGGAATAATGCACCATTGTTGGTATCAGTGGGAGGAATGAATAGTGCCTCATATCATTGGAAGGAATAATGCACCATTGTTGGTAACAGTGGGAGGAATAGCGCCTGGTATCATTGGAAGGAATAGTGTACCATTGTTCGTATCAGTGGGAGGAATAGTGCCTTGTATCATTCAGAGGAATAGTGCCCCAAGGGCCAAAATAAAGGCTGGAAAAGGACTGCATCTGGCCCCCGGGCCACAGTTTGGAGATCTCTGGATTAAGGAAGTGTAACCTCTGTTAGGTTTTTAGTTGCTGGGTTTTTCTCTCATTGAAAATGGTCCTTAGTACAAATAAGGAGGTTAGATCTCCACAACATGGACACAGACAGCAATTCAACTTTGATAGGTGTTCTGACCTGTCCCCACTCTATCCAAAACTACAAAAGTATGTTTTGGGTGGAACTATTCCATCATAATATTCATTAATCCTGTATAATAATTTTAGTTGTATTCCTTTTGGTTGCCATGTTTTTTCTTATTGAAAGTCTATTTCAATTTAAAGATTTGGCTCTACAACTGAGGTAATCCTATAATAAACTCACAAACTAAGAGCAAATTGGACTATTCACACATAGCAAATATGCAGTTCATTCTTACTGTATTTGAGCTAAAGTGACGTTCAAAAATCAGTAATTATTTTATGTTTGCACAAATTAAAATTGCAACTGTATATTATTTTATAATATAGCAATATTGTTAAATACTTGTTCAGTTAATCACTGTAGAATATTAATTTAGTCCACTTTTTTAAAGTAAGGCATTTTTAGGAGAGGCTCTGTTCACCTCCGTCACACAGCAGGTGATTGACAGCCTCAGCTGTCTAGACATGTGCAAAATGAAAAAAAAAAATGTGTTAATTAAATAATTTTGTTTCGTTAAATTTTTGTTTTCAGAATTTGTTTAGTTTCATTTATTCATTTTCAAATTTGATTTAAATTCTCCGAATTCGATCAAATTGATTTTAATTTGACCAAATTCAGTAAATTCAAATCGAATTTGAAAAGTATTGAATGGGCATTCGAATTCACATTTATTCTATTCAAAATTCAGAAGACGGTTATATTCTATTTTATTCTATGCTATTGTTTTTTCTATTCTAATCTTTTATATTCTTTTATTTTCTATTCTTTTCGATTCTATTTCCCTATTTTCTATTCTATGTTATACTATTCTTTTATTTTTTATTCTATTCTGTTGTATTCTATTCTGTTTTTGTTTTATGCTATTCTTTTTTTATTCTATTCTATTATTTTCTATTGTATTCTATTATTTTCTATTTTATTCTTTTCTATTTTATTCTACTGTAGCACCTTCTAGTGTACTACTAGAGTAGTGAAGGTAAATTTATTGTGTATGACTCATGGTAACTGTGTGAGTCTGTAATTAGGTTTGGGTTACTGCAGGTCAGGCTGGATGGCTTAACAGGTTGTGACTATCACCTCAACCTGGTTCTGGAGGACCATGGAACCTCCCATAAGCCAGTGGGAGGAAGGGGTGGAGACCTAATCTGCATGTTCATGGGAGTCTAACCAATCTGATGTTTGGAGGCCCTGGTACAGTGATGAGACCAACCCATAAATATGGGAGAGTCAGAATGGCAGGGAAGTCGGGTGGAAGATGGACTGCTGAGGAGGCTGTCAGTGGCCTGGGAAGTGTCCCCTAGGTTTTAGGGGTGACTGGCCTCCAGGTCGGGCTCAGGATGGCTCAGGAGAATCCATTCAGCATCACAGTATGAACAGAATCAAGGCCTATGAGCAACAATGTCAGAGTGAGTACATCAGCACACCCAGGGATTCACAAGGGGAAAAACTGCTATGTGTAGCAAGCTTTCAAAGGACAGCATTGTTCTTAATCCTTTTATCCTTGTCCTGGGAGATCTTCAGAGTAGGAGGGCTTGTGGTGTCTGCAGGCAGTGGAGCTGGGAGCAGTTCCACAGGGAAGAGGAGAGATTTCTGATCTGTAATGACTGACTGCTTTCAAGGAAAATAACAGTCCAGGATCTGTTTCTGTAAATAAGAAGGAAGTTGTCCCTTTGTCCCTTTGCATTGATTCAGTCAAGTTGGGTATCCCATAATCCCGACTGCCCTATGCAATTTATATCCCCTAATAAATAACAAAAGCCAAGCTCATGGACTGTTCACTGACTGTGGATGCAAGTGTGGAAAATGCATGTTGCCTGGATGTGCAAAGCTTAGAGTCTCTCTCTCTCTCGCTCTCTCTCTCGAGAGAGAGAGAGAGAGAGAGAGAGAGAGAGAGTAGCACAACACTATTCTTTTCTATTCTGCACCTTTATTTTCTAGTCTAATTTATTCTATTCTTTTTTTTTTCTACTCTATTGTATTATGTTCTGTTTAATGCTAATCTATGTTATTCTTTTATTGTATATTCTATTCTTTTCTATTCCTTTATTTTCTTAACTAATTTTTTCTATTCTTGTTTTTGAATTTGATTTTGTTTTTGAATCCGAACTTTGGGCAAAATTTTGTGTTGTTATTTTTGATTTATTTAAATTCACTACTATTGTATTTTAGAAAATCAGATACCCTCCGAATTTCTGAATATTAAAAAAAAAAACACGTCTGAATTTCAATTCAAAACAAAATGAACCACACATGTCCAGGGTCGGACTGACAACTCATGGGGCCCCCGGGCAATAGGGGATCATGGGGCCCCTGTGACCTTGCCCAAACTCAAAAAAGCCTATGAAAAAGGTACCAAGGGCATCTCATGGGGCCCCCTACTGACCCTGGGCCCTCGGGCAGTGCCCGAGTTTCCAAATGGTCAGTCCGCCCCTGCACATGTCTACAGCTGTCCATGTTTCCCTATGAGTCTGTGTAAGGGGAGCTGCATGCCTATTCCTGTCACTTACGTTTCAGATTACAGTGAGTTCTGTGCTAATGCTGTGCAGTGTGTTACAACAGATCTCAGCTCCCTGTCTTTTGGAGCTGAGAAAAAGCCTTTGAGCTGTGTGCTTCAGAAGGCTGTACAGGCAAGAGGGCTGCAGGTACAGGTACAACTTAAGTAGGAGAATTTGTTTCATCTCTAGGTATCACCTGAGGAAAGTCTCTTCAACCTCTTTAACTCTTGTAGTAAAACCCCTGCCCGTACTCTTTGGAGGAGATTTATTAAAACTGGAGAGTGCAAAATCATAATGCAGCTCTGCTTAGAAACCAGCTTCCCAAATTTTTGTCAAAGCTTAATTGAACAAGCTGAAGTTAGAAGCCAAATGGCTACCACACAGTGTGGCACCAGATTCTGAAGTGCTCCACTTTTAGTAAAACCCCTGTCTTTGACCAGGCCATTTTTTTTTTCCGATTTTTTTAACGGACAATTGCATGGTCACGGTTTGTGAGAAAAAAAATATATTTTTTTACTTTTTGCTATTAAACATGTCCAGTAAAAAAATAAAAAACAAATTTCATCATAAATTTAGGCCTAAATGTATTCTGCCACTTGTTTTTGCTAAAAAAATAATCCCAATACCTGTAAATTAATTGGTTTACATAAAATTTATAACATTTACACATGGCGGTCTACAGTATATAATGGGATTCTTTTTTTTTTTTACTAGTAATGGCGGTGATCATTGACTTATAGCGGGACTGCAGGACTGTGGCGGGCATTCTGACACTGGGGGGAACTGACTTGGTGTCATTGACATCCCCAGTGACACCAATAAACTGACTGATCAGTGCAAATAAAAAGCACTGACACTGTACTAATGGCATTGGACAGGAAGGGGTTAACATGTGGGGCGAACAAAGAGTTAACTGTTTGCTGTGTGCTGTTTTTACACTATTTTGCATGGCTGTGCTATGAACAGCCATGCAAAGCAGTGTGTAGGAGCTGACAGGAGAGAGAACTGTTTTGTTTACAAACAGTTCACACCCCCCCCCCCCATTGGAAATGATCGGCAATCAACGGGCACCAGCGAGTAATCACCGTCCGGGACCCGTGAATGGCGGCGCGGATAGGGCGCGCACGTGCCCCCTAACCGGAAATGCAAAATCACATATATATGAATGGGAAGCGGTTAAAGGATTTGTGTATTTTTGATGCTGACTTCAAAGCTATATGAAAAGATCCTCTCCCTGCTGTACAGTATTAATATTTTTTTTTTTGGATTGGTACATAATCCTAATGATGGGGCCCAGCTTTCCATGTTTTTATTTAGACAGTAAGGTTTCCTATTAACCCTTAAAATGCCCAGAATTTAGCAAGATTTCTCCCCCATAGATTTCAGGTTTGCCAATTTTTGAAAAAGATTCACTGAATCCTTTGCAAAACGAACGTGGGCTGGTCACCTGTTGTATGGCATACTGCAAAATCACGCAAAGATTTGAGAGGTGTGTTCATTATTTATTCAGTCAATAGACAAAGAAGTTATTATAATTTCTACACACATGATGCCAGAAAGCTGGTTCAAGTTTAGCCAAAAGGGCAATAAAATATGAGAAACAAAGGATTACTAGCCAGATATTAATCTGAATCTGGACCTGCCATCATCACAAACCTCACAAAGAACATTGGGCAGAATTTTTATTTTGTGTGGTAATGCAATATTGATCCCTGGTACCAAGCCAATGCAAAGAACAGTTGATACTTTGTATTGTACAAGTTAAAATGCATTGGCTACATCTGGCACATAAAAGGAGTGGTTAGCTCTAGGGATGAGTAATATTGAGAGTCTTCATTGCTCTAAATTTTGATTAAATGAATTGTAGTTAAAGTTCACCTTCGAGAACATGTTATATGTTTCCACCCGTTTTTAGGGTGGAACATGTAACATGTTCCTACTCCTACTTTCTACACCACTTCTGGTGACAGCAAGCCATGGATCTTCTAGCTGTCACAAAAAAAAATGCATCCCAATGGGGCTCTGCCTGCTCTGAACTCATCATGCATTTACAGAGTTCTGCGACAGCTTGTAGCTTTCAATATCCTACCAGAGCACTGGTGAGCACTCTAGGTAGTTCATTGATGGTTCATGTCATTGTGTAACTGCCTGCCCTGCTTTCACTGACAGTCTGCAGCAGGGGCGGACTGACAACTCATGGGGCCCCCTGGCAATAGGGGATCATGGGGCCCCTGTCTCCTTGCCCAAACTCAAAAAAAGCCTATGAAAAAGGTACCAGGGGCATCTCATGGGGCCCCCTACTGACCCCGGGCCCTCGGGCAGTGCCCGAGTTTCCAAATGGTCAGTCCGCCCTGGTCTGCAGGAGCCATGCATTGCACGCACTGCTGATTGCAGGTGCAATGCTTTGCAAGCTCCTAATAATAAAAATAAATAAATAAATTTTTTTTTTTTTTTTACCTGCAAACAGATGTTTTTTTATTATTGATAAGGTGAACTTATCTTTAAAACCGTCAAAACCCATCTCACCTTCACCCCTTCATCCTCTCTTAAAGTGTGCACTGAGCTTTAAATGGCTCCCCAGCATTATGGATGTTCCTTTCAACAATCCTGAACCTTATTGTGCCAAAAAGTCTCTCATTGGTCTCATTATGTTATGTGTTTTTATGTTTTGGTTTGTTTGTTTGTTTTTTTGCAGAAAGAGAATAAAGTCATAAAAAATAGTAGAATAAAATGTTTTAAAAAACTTAACTACCCCTAACCAACTACACATACACACATGGGAAAAAAAAAAACAAGTTCTAAATAAAATAAAAAAAACAAGTATAATAGAAAAGATCAATTTTTTTCCTAAAAAATTTCATCTATGCAGCCTAATGAGCCAAACAACTGACCTCAGAGTCTTGGAGCTTTTATTTGCTTCCTGATGCTCCACCTCAAACTTACTGGTACTTACATCCACACAAATTAGTCCTAGAACATCTGTGCCTGTATGACCATAGTAATTTTAGAATACTTATTACATATTAGTATAGATGGTTCACTGTATTGTGTAAAGAGCTGTAATATACACAATATATACAGCTATATATACATTAATTCAATTTAGATTGTTAAAACAAAGAGAAAAAACAGGTAAATGAAATGTATTGTGTTTCTGTACATCTTTGTTTATTTTGGTAAGCTCTAAGAAAAATAACTTTTTCTTTTATTACTTAGTTAGGTAAATCTAAAATATACTGTAGCAATAACATATAATCTTCTGCCTCACCAAATGCGCTCTAGAACTCCTATTCACATATGGGCAGGGCTTAAGGCACCTTAGTGGGGACACTAAGAACTACACTCACTAATTGCCTAAATACTAGGCAAGAGTTTGCAGTCATGTGTAATCAGCATTAAGACACAGCTCCAGACTTAAAACTGAGCAACAACTAACACAGTTAACCCTCTAGTAACCCATGGCTAACTTGTTGTACTGCTAACACTAAGCACTCTAGAAACCATTACATTTAAGTACACCACTTCTCACGTGTAAGTGAAGAGATAGACTCTGCTCAACCAACCCAGGAGTTGAATATTGAGGAATGGCCTCAGCCGCCATTCTGGCCACGCCCTCTGACACATTTTGCCCTGCCCACCGGGAATTCGTTGCAGACAAAACACATCAGAAGGCATGGACAGAACAGCGGTTGAGGCTATTCTTCAATATTGGATTCATGGGGTCGGTTAACCTCTTTACATCGAGCGCACGCAAGTGTGTGGCCTCTGCGGCGTCTGGGCCTTGATGCCGAGCGGCCGCACATTTCATGCAATTAAGAAAAAAACATATGTGCTGAGAGAGTGCACCCTGCGTGCTTTCAGCACACATGTATGGTACTCACGGAAAGGTCCCGATCTCCACCTGTGATCGGGAACTTTCCTGATCATGTGACTGCCGTGACAGCGAATCACGTCGATCACATGACCCTAAAAACCCTGCCTGCTTCCCAGCTTCTGAAACACTTAAAGCGGTGGGAGGTGCCAGCGCCAAGGGGTTAAGCAGTGTCTATTCCTTCACTTGCATTGGCTGACACTGGAATCGTTCAGACTCATGCTTCCCTCTTTTCACTTGCTGGTGGGGTGATATTTTTCTTTCCATCCATAGCTTGGAGCCATAAGGTATACTTTTCACTTCCCAGGTGCACAGCATTTAGGAATCAGTGATGTACAGCCTGCACCTGCATCCACCAAACCAGAAATTCCTGGAGACATGTCCAACTGTTGCTATTGGATACAGGTTATGCACTTCACTCACTACATGCTTGTTCTCCCCCAGGGGCCCCTCTACATCTCTCTCTCTCTCTCTCCCCCATGACTTCCCTAGCTACGCTGTGCCACAGATCTGCTCCCAGGATGTGGGAAAGCCTAGGTTCACATATGTGCGGGTGGTGCTGCTGCGGATCCGCACAAAAATCCATGCAGCCGCACCACCCACAAGGAGAATCCGGACCCGCGGACGGGTGCTATTAATTCTAATGGCACGCAACCCACACTGGAATTCACAACCGCACTGGGAACCGAGGTTCCCGAGAGGGCTGCAGTTTCCAAAGAAATGAAGGGACATCTTCCCTTAATTTCCCGGGGCACGGGAGTCCATTCAAACGAATGGGCTCTCGTGTCCCGCGCAAAACATAGCCCGCACGACCGCATATATGTGAACCAGGGCTTAGGTAGCTCATGAAGAAGCAAAGCATAACATCCCTTTCCTACCAGAGAAACCATCACCTTTTGCCAGTCACGCGTTCCCTGGCTGGTTGGCTTTCTTCAGCCAAGATACATACACGGTTGTCCCAAGCAATGGTCATATAGCCTACGCTAGACAGCAAACTACATTGCTGGACTAAAATGTACTGTATCTACCTCTTTAAAAGACTTCAGACCAGGAAAAATAAACAGTCTTTACTGAAATAGTTCAAAACATACAGGTTCTCTAAATGAGTCATATCTGAGTAGCAGCAAGTCCATAGTCCTTTAGAGACAAGAGTCCATTAAGGCAAATAATTCAGAAAGGTAGCAAGTATCCTTAAAGTCCATGCCTGGCAATAATCCATACAAGCAATAAGTCCAAAACTGTCAGCTAATAGTCCATTATGTCCTCAGGTTCCAAGCCCCTTAGGGAACTCCAACTGGGGTGTACAGTCCAGCAGAGTAACATCCTACATCTTGGCAGTGATTTTGCAAGACCTCTCTAGGGCATGAACTGAGCCCTTTTTATATGGTATGACCAGTATGGGGCCGGTCACATTGCTAAAAATGGCAGGAAAACTGTTAACCCTTCCAAATCAGTTACTTCCAGCTCACAGGTAAACCTAAGGACACAGTTCAACATCAAGACATTGTAACAATTTGCACCTGGCTGGTTCAGTTAACTTGAAGACATCACTATGGACAGGAGAAACAGGAACACAGAAAGAAGAACACATTAACCCTTTTGTAGGCACTTGCCAACACACATCATTAGCAGGACTATGTTTCAGCTGTGCTGAAACAAGCCTGTAGTTTACAGAACTCTAAGGAGTCATCATGGGAACTCGTGCATGCACGGGAATGTGTGATAATGTACAGGAATGCACATGGTCCAACATGCACTTTCCAGTGTTAACTTGCCTTCAGTCATGTATTAAATGTTTATTCACAAAAAAAGGATTGTATAAACATTTTACAAAAAAAAAAAGTTTACAAATTAATTTCTGGGGTATTGGTTTCACCTATATAGCCTTTAATCATTGAATAATGCAGATATACCGAATATTGTAGTTACTATCCACTGCCATTATCCCTAATGATTTTGTTTGATCTTGTATCGTGTTGCTGACTTATTGACCAAGATCTTTTCATTTTTTTTCTTTTATTTCCAGTTCTAAAATAAATAAGTAAAATTGCACAGAGTGAAAACATATAAAACACATAGCCCTGGAGAAGAGATCAGTCTTTTGTATTTATTCCTTGGCAACAAGTTTACTGAACACAATTATAATGGCTTATACAGAATTTAGAATTCAACTAAATTACTAATAAGATGTTACACATTTTAATTATTTACCTTTGCCTACCTTAAAAGTATTAGTAATATGTTTTAGAGCAGCATATATTTATTTAGTGCATAAACCCCTACTTCTTTAATCACTTGGCCTCCAAAAGGTTTTTAACCCCTTTCTGACCGGGGCAATTTTTTTGCTAATCAGCAATGCGCTTATTTAACTGGTAATTGCGCGGTCATGCAATGCTGTACCCAAACAAAAATGTACACAATTTTTTTTCACACAAATAGAGCTTTCTTTTGGTGGTATTTGATCACCACTTGGGTTTTTATTTTTTGTGATATAAATGAAAAAAGACTGAAAATTTGGAAAAAAACTGTATTTTCTACTTTCTGTTTATAAAAAAAATATCCAATAAACTACAATTTTGTTATAAATTTAGGCCAAAATGTATTCTGCTACATGTCTTTGGTAAAAACAAAATCCCAATTAATTGGTTTGTGTGAAAGTTTTAGCATCTACAAACTATGGTATATATACTGGAATTTACGCAGCTTTTATTTTCTGACTGTCTCACATTTCTTGAGGGTGTTAAAATGCCAGGGCAGTATAAATAACCACCAACTGACCCCTTTTCAGAAAGTAGACACCCTAAGCTACTTGCTGAGAGGCATATTGAGTCCATGGAAGATGTAATTTTTTTCACAAGTTTTTGAAAAATGGCAATTTTTTTTTACACAAAGTTGTAACTTAAATGATATATTGCCCACACATGCCATGGGTATATGTGGAATTAAACCCCAAAATATATTCTGCTACTTCCTTGTAAGTATACTTTTTGAAACTTTTTGGGTGCCTAGCTGCATACAGGAGACCGAAATTCAATGACCTCTTTGAAAGCCTGAAGGTGCGTAATTTCCTTATTTCACTTCCTCACTACCTAGTTTCAGAGGCTCTGAAATGCCAGGATAGCACAACCCCCCTCCCTCCAAATAGCCACGGCATAGAAACAAGCTGAGATTAGAAGCAGTCTCTTAAAAGGAGTGCTGCTAATTTCATTTTGTTACCTGTATAAAAGACACCTGTTCACAGGAGCACTCAAACAATCAGATACCAAACTCTCCGCCATGGCAAAGACCAAAGAGCTGTCCAAGGATGTCAAGGACAAGACTGTAGACCTACACAAGGCTGGACTAGGCTACCAAACTATCGCCAAGCAGCTTGGTGAGAAGGTGACAACAGTTGGTGCAATCATTCGCAAATGGAAGAAACACAAGACAACTGTCAGTCTCCCTAGGTCTAGTGCACCATGCAAGATCTCACCTTGTGGAGTGTCAATGATCATGAGAACAGTGAGGAATCATCCCAGAACTACTTATGAGGATCTCCAGGCAGCTGGGACCAAAGTCACCAAGAAAACAATTGGTAACACATTACGCCGACTGAAATCCTGCAGTGCCCACAAGGTCCCTCTGCTCAAGAAACCACATGTCCAGGCCCATCTGAATTTTGCCACTGAACATCTGAATGATGCAGAGGACGACTGGTTGAAAGTGTTGTGGTCAGATGAGACCAAAATCAAGCTCTTTGGCATAAACTCAACTCGCGTGTTTGGAGGAGGAGGAATGCTGCCTATGACTGCAAGAACACCATCCCAACTGTCAAACATGGTGATGGAAACATTCTGCTTTGGAGTGTTTTTCTGCTAAGGGGACAGGACAACTGCACTGCATCAAAGGGACGATGGGCGGAGCAATGTACCATCAAATCGTGGATGAGAACCTCAGCCAGGGCATTGAAAATGGGTCATGGATGGGTGTTCCAGCATGACAATGACCCAAAACACACGGCCAAGGCAACAAAGGAGTGGCTCAAGAAGAAGCACATTAAGGTCCTGGAGTGGATTAGACAGTCTCCAGACCTTAATTCGATTGAAAAATCTGTGGAAGGAGCTGAAAGTTTGAGTTGCCAAACGTCAGCCACCAAACCTTAAAGAGTTGGAGGGGATCTTCCAAGAGGAGTGGGCCAAAATCCCTCATGAGATGTGTGCAAACCTGGTGGCCAACTACAGGAAACGTCTGACCTCTGTGATTGCCAACAGGGATTTGCCACCAAGTACTAAGCCATGTTTTGTGAAGGGGATCAAATACTTATTTCCTTCCTGAATATGCAAATCAGTGCATCATTTGTTAGACATGCATTTCTTTTGAATTTTTTGTTGCTATTCTGCCTCTCAGTGTTACAATACACCTACCATAAAATTTTAGACTGATCATTTCTTTGTGAGTGGGCAAACATTCATAATCAGCAGGGGATCAAATACATATTTCCTTCACTGTATATACGTAATTTTGCATTTTTGGGTAGGGGCCGCGCGCAAGGTACGCGCGCACCCTACCCGTGCCGCCATTCGCAGATGTCAATCTCGGGTCCCAGCTGGTAATTACTTGCTGGTGCGCGATGATTACCGAGCATCTTCGACGGGGAGGAAGATTGTTTTGTTTTCAAACAATCTTCCCCTGTCAGCTCGAGCACACTGCTTGGAATGGCTGTGCACAGTACAGCTATCCCCGATCATTGTGCTTACATTGAAGAACACGCCCACGCGCCCCCAGTAAAACACTCCCAGCACGCAGTTAACCTTTGATCGCCCCTCACATTAACCCCTTCCTTCCCATTGCCATTAGTACAGTGTCAGTGCTTTTTTTTTAGCACTGATCACTGTATTGGTGTCACTGGGGTGTCAGTGACACCAAGTTAGTTCCCCCTCCCCCTATGTCCCGTTAAATGTCGCTGATCACCTCCAATAGAAAAAAAAAATGGCATTATCTATACCGCCATTTTTTTGTTTAAAACGGTATATTTTCCAGATTTTAGGGTCTCTCACAATGCGATAGCCAGTTTGACTACCAACATCTTTCAAGACTCTGTGTAAATATTGTACCCTAGACTGTGCCGTGCTGTACCCTATACTAATGCTTCACTAGTGTCTGGTAGCAATGGAAGCAGTCCTTGAGGCAGAGACCAGGTTGGCTAGGACAGGAGGGACAAAAAATGTGGGTGTCACGTCTAGTTATGTGTCTCCTACAGACAAGACATCTTTTTTGGGGTGACTTTTGGGTTGGGGCATCAGGAATGGCATCAGAAAAAATGCCTGTTCTCATGCAGTCGGCTTAGTACAGCTGGGTTTGGGCCACAGCACCTTCTGGATACAAAAGGAGCATGATGATCTCTTCCTGAAATTTTAGGATCCACTTCATCCAGTTGCTTTGTAAAGCACAAAAGTGTTGTACAGAGCCAATTGAAATAAATATACAGACTCTTTTTTTGTGCCAGTGCCTGGCTTTAGGGGAAACTAAGTATGGCTCATACATAATCTAGTCCTTGAGGTCCACCCCTCTCATGTTAGGTTATAGTCATGGACACAGAGGGGCTTCTCAACAACACCAGTTGCTGTGCAAATACACTGTTATGTCTACGTGAATGGAAGACAGAGCAAGAACATCCCATTTTTTCCTTCCACTTCACTGCGAGCAATTCATTATTTCTCAAGATATTTTTCCCCTTTCTAAGTCGGGTATTTACAAGCTGTTGGGGAAGCCCAGCGATAAGGTTGCACGGCGCCATGGAGCCAGTTCCAAGATTGTGCAAATGTCTAAATATTGGCATGCTTGTATAAAAATTGTCCACATATGAGTGGTACCCCATAAGGAAAAAGGGTGACACCAATTCCCAAACTATCTTGTCACTGCTCCCATGTAGTCTGGGCACCCGGGGGGGCTCCATGTGACAATGTTTTCCCTCTTAAATTTGAATATTACATGTATAGCCTGTTGCCCCCTCACAGCACATATGCATTTTGACCCCATATCTGACACATTTGCTGGGGGAAAACTGTTTGAAGGCAAGGCGGCCAGAAAAATTAATGAAGGACTCATCAAAGCAGATGTTTTGATGGGGCAGATACACATCTGCAAATTTGTGGTTAAGGCAATTTACAAGGAGCTGAATTTTGTGGAGCCTGTCATATAGAGCCTATTCAGGGTCTCCCTGAGGACAAAAGAGTGTATTGCCATTAAAATGCATATAATACATTATATTCTCATATCTATGCTGCCATGGCAGTAGAGAACATGGGCATATGATGAATCGGGTCTATGGACCAATATAACTGCAACTCATTCTTTTTAGTAATACCATGTTTAGGGTTAGGTCCATAAAAATGTAAAGTTGAAAACTGTAATAGGTTTCAATGCAAATGGTCTGGCAAGGTTTGAATTTGGGTGGCGGCGATAAATTATTATGCATACAAATCAATGGAGTAGTTAATTTTGCTCTTTCCAAGTTAGTTCCAGGTTGAACAGTGAATGGGGAGAGTACAGGTGCTGCAGAATTTGTGGGCTGCCAATCAGGATTTGCAAGCACATCCGGAAGGACGCTATGGCTCTAAAGGCCTGTGTTCGAATTCTTGGTAGCTGCGGGACACTACTTGTGCCACCTCACCAGCTTGTGGGATTTGCCACATCACCAAATGATACTGCAGAGCTGGTATGTAAAAGACCAAGATGTACTAGGCCACTGGCGCTTGCCAGTTTACCAAAGGTAGTGAGGCACCCTAGTACTGGCACTCTGCTGCATATGAGAATCATCATGCAATTCTAACACCTCAGCAACCTGGGCATGGGGTCAGGTACACCTGACCTTAGCAGGGACCTATACTCCATCGTTTGAATTATCTGTTGGGGTGCCACTCTCTTTACAGGTTCATATTCTGAGCCTGATTTTGTCTGTAAGGCTTCCCATTGCTCTCATCTGACATGCTCAGAATCCTGTAAGCCTCTTCACCAGTGTACATTTGTGTCTAATGTATCAAGTGACAGTTATCTACTCTCACTGCACTTGCTGGAGGGGGGGGGGGCAGAGGGGCTTAATGCAGGTGCTAGCAGGTGTTGGGGCTGAACCTGCTAACGCTGCATTTTTGGGGACACTATATATTACTATTGTGAACGCTAGTATAGTTCTGATCTGATCAAAGATATTGATCTGTTCAGACACTATACTAGCAATGGAAGTTTATAGTGTGTATATGAGCGTGTTTTGTTCCTTTCCTGGCAATCAAAGGGTTAAATGTGATGGTAATGTAGTGGTGGGCAATCTGACGCTATCTGGGAGGGATGCTATTTGATGCTAATGCTATCTGAAGTTGCCTGTGACACTAATACAGGAGGTTAAATGTGACCTAACCATGCTTTTACTGTGTAAGTGTGCTGCTTTGACTCACATGGATGTGCTCTCTTCTCCCTCTGGAACGCAGTGTAAACACAGGCACAGGATGAGCTCTGATTAAGTACAACCAATCAGGAGGTCCAGCTCAAACATCATTGGCATGTATCTGGTGAGTGAACTTTGCTGTTCTGAATCCCAGCACCGCCGGGCAGGCGAGTGCATGTGCACGCTCCCCCTACCTGTGAACATGTTGGGAGTGTGGATCACATTTATTACAGTTGTGTTCAAAATAATAGCAGTCAGACATCACTAACCTGATCAATCACTGTTTCTGGTAGAAATGATATTTCTACATGGCAAATAATTTACTAGCAGGTGTAGTAGAGTAATAGAAATCCAACAGACCCAACAGTCATGACATGCATGCTGCGGATTCTGTGTAATTGAATCACTAATTGAAAGGGGCATGTTCAAAATAATAGCAGTGTGGAGTTCTATTAGTGAGGTCATTCATTCTTTGAAAAAACAGGTGGCAATTATTGCCCTTATTTAAGGAAGGAAAGCAGCAAATGTTGTACATGCTGGTTACAGTGCATTTCTCTCTGAAATTCTGAGGAAAATGGGTCGTTCCAGACATTGTTCATAAGAACAGCGTACCTTGATTAAAAAGTTGATTGGAGAGGGGAAACCATAAAGAAGTGCAGAAAATGATAGGCTGCTCAGCTAAAATGATCGCAAGTTCTTTAAAATGGCAACCAAAACCTGAAAGACGTGGAAGTAAAAAGCGAAAAACTACAATTCAAATAGATAGAAGAATAGCCAAAATGGCAAGGATTCAGCCAACAATCAGCTCCCAGGAAGATCAAAGAAGGTCTAAAGTTACCTGTGAGTACTGTTACAATTAGAAGATGCCTATGTGAAGCCAAGTTATCTGCAAGAAGTCCCCCGCAAAGTCCCACTGTTGAAAAAAAAGACATGTGGTGAAGAGGTTACAATTTGCCAAAGAGCACATTGACTGGCCTAAAGAGAAATGGCGCAAAAATTTGTGGACTGATGAAAGTAAGATTGTTCTTTTTGGGGTCTAGTGGCCGGAGACAGTTTGTCAGACGACCCCCAAACACTGAATTCAAGCCCTAGTACACTGTGAAGAAAGTGAAGCATGGTTGCGCAAGCATCATGATATGGGTATGTTTCTCATACTACGGTGTTGGGCCTATTTATCGCATACCAGGGATCATGGATCAGTTTGAATACATCAGAATACTTGAAGAGGTCATGTTGCCTTATGCTGAAGAGGAAATACCCTTAAAATGGGTGTTCCAACAAGACAACGACCTCAAACACACCAGTAAACGTGCAACATCTTGGTTCCAGACCAACAAGATTGACGTTATGGAGTGGCCAGCCCAATCCCCGGATCTTAATCCAATAGAAAACTTGTGGGGTGACATCAAAAATGCAGTTTCTTAGGCAAACCAAGAAATAGAGAAGAACTGTGGAATGTAGTCCAATCATCCTGGGCTGGAATACCTGTTCACAGGTGCCAGAAGTTGGTTGACTCCATGCAACACAGATGTACAGCAGTTCTCAGAAACAGTGCTTATACAACTAAATATTAATTAAGTGATTCCAAGGAAAGCAAAATCTTCAAACATTTTCAGTTTATATAGTAAATGTTTGAGTTTGTAAAGAAGAATACAAACACTGCTATTTTTTTGAACAGTCTAATATCTTTTTCACTTTTCTTCAATTTTTTTTAGAGGAACAACACAAATTTGATATATTTTTCTTCATGTTTTTGATTTGGAATAGAATATGTAATGTTCCCAATGCATTTGTGTGTATGGAAATACAAGCTATTAGAAGGATTTTGAGCTTTATTCACTTTTTTTCAACAACACACTGCTATTATTTTGAACACAACTGTATACACTATTTTGCACAGAGAGTCTGCCTTGTAGCGGTAAAATTGCTATAGGGTGGACTTTAAGTGGTTAATTAGTTTATTTACAGATAGTTTATTTACAGATATGATTTACAGAAATATCATATTTCTATAAAATTGCCTTAAAATAATTTGATATAATTTGCATTAAGAAAAAGAAGGAATAATCATAATCACTACAGTATACAGCTCCCGAAATATGTAATGAGCAAGAGTAGATATGGATGTCTATACATAAATGGTAACTAGGTCAAAATAAACCATCTACAAGGTTCAGGTTCGCTGCCACCATAGGTTCAAGTTGAAGGTTCTTGGTCCTAGTGAATTTCTGCAGGAATTCGCCAGACTGAATTTA